CCATTTTTGACATTACCATCTTTCCTCAAAGACTAACTCCTCATACAGTTTTTACTTTATGACCAAGTGCCCATGACTTTCAGGTGTGAAATTCATGAAATTTAAAAACTGGAAAGAGAAAATAGGTAGGTGAAAGGGTAGTGCACACTGCTTTAGAGACCATTTCCCTAAATTTCCGGGCTTATGTGAAAGCTTGCAAAGCTTTCTCACTGAGCATATTTATGTTCATGTTTATGCACAGAAATATACACAGTATTGAGGCTTCACTTTAATGCCATTCCATTCTATCATTGTCTTCCAGACTACTGGGGCACTTGGTTTGCTTCTAACAAATGTGCTTGATACTTGTGTTCAGCTAATGGTGCCTAAAATTAACCAACAAACCTCAAATGCTTGAAATAAAACAAAATACTCTTGATAAAGCCGTACCCATAGACAATTGGAAGCACAAGGATCATTTAAAAAATCGTCTCATAGATGAGTGTCATTGTGGTTAAATGACTTGCTACTTGGGGATGGATCTAGAACAGAATCCAAGTGACTTCACTTGCCCGTACTGCATTTCCCATTTCCTGTAAAGGACTCTGGTTTGGTTGAATATGATGGAATTATCTCAGAATGAGTTTCTAGAAATAATCTTGCTCTGAGAAACCTAGTGATGTACTGTAACAATAACAGTATTTTTAGTAAATCAGCAAATAAAAAAGAGTACGGTGGATCCCATAGAGGAAATGGGCAAATAGCTGTACACCTATCCCCCCTTACTTTCGTATATTAATTTAATAATCTTAGTTTTTATTGGTATGTAAATCTTATGTAGATGGTTATCATGGCTAAGGTAGGAGGAAGTTCATTCTGTGCGGGAGTGAAAATGGGCTATAGTTCTGTTTTTCATCTTTATCCTGCATATGGCTTAATCACGTCCTTATACAGGGGCTTATTCATGGTATTCAGCTCAAATGAGTGTTGGTTCTCTGCACTCTCTCCAAGTGGTCTTTGCCATTTTGAAGAGTATCCAAGACTATCAGAGACACTTAAGGTCATCCAGAGTATCTGAGAGTATCTGAAATATGTAATAGGTCTGTTTATTAATAAATCAGGAAATGCTGAGCACTTAATATGTCTTAGCTGGTTGCAGTAACTACAACATGAGTTTTGTTTGAAAATAAATTTTTTTTTTTACATATTATTAGGTCTTATAGTAAAAGGAAATTTGACAGTGTTGCTTTTGTTTTTGTTATTACTAAATGAGCTCTAGTTATTTTTCTCCCCCTACCCTGTTTTGAATTTGCCCTCCTTTTCGTGAAGTAGTTCAGTGATCTCTTTATTTATGCATTGTAACCATATGTATTCAGCTAGAAGTTATTCTTCTCGACCCTCCCTCCCACAACTAAACAGCGTTGGGCAGAAGCATGCAATCTTTTTGCTATTAAGTTACTGTGAAGTAAGGCCAGAAAGCTTTAAACATATTTTGAATGAGATGGGTTAGGAGTCTGATTATGTCTCAATTTGTTCTGACTGACTTGGTTGAATAACATCTTGGGTTGTCAAAGAAGTGTTGTGTAATGAATGTTTTCTCACATTTGTGCTCATTCTACTTGTGCTCATTCTTAGGCTAACTAATATATCTCCCACGTAGTATAATAAAGATAACCCACAATTCAGGAGCAGTTTCCCTGCTCAGAAACTGGTCTCCTTGACTTAAGTTTTTACAAGGACATGGTAGATTCCTGTCCTTTTCTTTCTTCTGAGGAAATTTGGACTTGCTACCTCTTTTACTTTTTTTAAAAAAATTCCATTTTTAAAATTAATTTTGTGAAACTTTGAAACAATTTCAAACTTACAGAAAAGTTGCAAGTACAGTGTAAACTGTCTTTTGTATCCTGAAGTTTTGGAGAGTAAGTTGCCAATGTGGTGCTTAATCATCCTCAAATACAACAAGGACATTCTCCAACCTAACCCAATATGTGCATTAAAAGCAGAACTTCAGAGTTGACATATTACTAACATCTAATTCTCATAAGAGAGGTCTGAGAAAACTAGTCAACTGGCAAACAAACAAAATGTGAGTATGCGTTATAGAAAAAAGGTCATGATAATTCACAGTTGAGAGAAGGTATAAGTATATAATAACAGAAAAATATGTATACTTAATATAAACTGATTGGCAAGTGAAGAGGCAGGAGAAGATGAGCGTGGTAATGGGGCTGCTGTCCTTGTGTTTGTCTAGGAATTCCAGAATGTGTTTGCGTTCACTTTGATGCTGAATATGTGAGCTCTTTTGATGGTGATCACTTGACCGCCAGATAGTGCTGCTAGCCTTTGCCTTAGATGGCCCTGGTACCTTTCCTCAGAGTCAGCCATCTTGGTCTTGTTGGTCTGCTGCTTGATGTAGCTTCTGAGAGTTTAATTATTTACTACCAGCGGAGGAATTTCAGTACATCAGAGGGGTTCTTCAGTGCATGTAGCTTGCATGCAGATGGTCTTGTGTGAATGAATGTCCAGCCTTATTACTCTGTTGCTGAAGAGTGAGAGAACCTGCTCTCTGTGACTAGAGGCCTACTTTTTTCTTTCACTTTATTCCTGAGAAAATAATCCTAGATGAGTTCTTCATATAATTTTTCTCTGATTTATATTAGAAAGTGTCATTATCAAAGTGGCATTATGTTGTGAGATAGATATGCTAAAGAATAGTTTTTCTTAGAAAAACTAAAAAGGCTTATCAATAAGGCTCGTTCTTTGAATGAACTGTTATAGGAAATCTTAGTTTTAAAACTGTTTTCCTATTCCGTTTTTAATGTACATGTTTCTATAAGTGTTGATAAACTGTAAAGTTTTTTAAACACTTAAAGAAATTCAAGAGAAAAATTCACATATCACCTTATCAAAATGACTTGAGTTCTTTATTATTTATATGTGCATTTATGTAACTTTGACAATAAGAATCTTGTCTTTATTAAAGTTATTACACATATAGATTCTGATTCTGATATGTGTTGTTAAGGCTCTTGCAGACCAATTTGAAGATGAAACTACATCTGTATTGGAACGTTTGAAGATTTTCTATTGTTGTCAAGTACCACCTCACCGGGCCATTCAGGTATTTTTGTTATTTGTCATTAGGTATGAAAAATACTTTGCATTAGAAAGGTAAATGCGTTAGAAAAGAATGATTTAAATTTGTTTGAATTTTCAAATATTTCAGTGAAAAGAATAAAAATGTCTAGCTGGAGACTGCTAACTACTTCAAATTGCTTTTTTTTTTTTTTTTTTTTGAGACAGTCTTGCTCAGTAGCCCCAGGTAGAGTGCAGTGACGTCACCTCAGACTCCTCGGCTCACGTGATCCTCCTGTCTCATCCCTCACTCCCCCGCAGTAGCTGGGACTATAGGTGTGAGCCCTCATGCCTGGTCAAATTGCTGTTTTGATTAAAGCAATGTTAGATTCATAAAACTTTTTAAGAGAATTAAAAAAGTCTGTCTGGCTGGAGACTGCTAACTACTTCAAATTGCTTTTTTTTTTTTTTTTTGAGACAGTCTTGCTCAGTAGCCCCAGGTAGAGTGCAGTGATGTCACCTCAGACTCCTCGGCTCACGTGATCCTCCTGTCTCATCCCTCACTCCCCCGCAGTAGCTGGGACTATAGGTGTGAGCCATCATGCCTGGTCAAATTGCTGTTTTGATTAAAGCAATGTTAGGTTCATAAAACTTTTTAAGAGAATTAAAAACTATATTAAATAGAATCCTACAAATTAAATAATAGGAAAACTATAAATGTTTTCATTTTCAAAATAATTTCTTTAAAGAAGTGGGGTCTTGCATTGTTGCCAGGCTGGAGTGCAGTGGCCATTCATAGGAGCAATCATGGTGCATTATAGCTTTGAACTCTTGGTCTCAAGCAATCCTCCTGCCTTAGCCTCCAGAGTAGTTGGGATGACAGGTGCACACCACCGTACCCAGCTTCAAAATAAATTTTTATATTTAGAAGTCCATTAAGGACTTTCTGCCAGAGAATGAACCTTGTAACTAAATTGTTTACAAAAAGTAAAAGAGAGCATTTATTTGGCATACTTTATGTTGCGAGATGCCATTAACTGCTCTCCTCTTCCTGAGGATGTATGAAACCTAGGGCAGGTCTTAAAACCCCTTATTCGGGTAGAGATTCTGGCTCCTTGTCCACATAGTTCACTTGTATAGATCTGGTTCCCCTATTTTATAAAATTTTAGCACTGAAGATAACTTAGACACCTGGTCCAATTTTTTAATTTTACAGAGGAGAAATTGAGGCCCAGTGCAATGAACTTTCCAGTATTGATCACACAATTATATGTGAACTAGATCCCTGGCTTCCTGACTTTTAGTCTAGTTTACCTCCTTTCCTTATTTCTTCATTGGGTTGTATACAAGCTAATAACAACCAACTTTTATGATACATTTAGTATAATGCATGCGCTTTGTTCTGCATTTCACACACATTATCTTATTGCAACAATTTTGCGAAATATTCCCATTTTATAGATGAGGAAGCTAAGTGGAGTCAAATGGTGTCAGCCAGCAGTTTCTAGATGATTTAGTAGCTATTGTCATTTTAATCAGCTTCCTGTTCTCTCTGTCATGGAGTATACACACAGGTAGTGACTTAGAATTATAAATGCCATCCCACCATTCAATGGTTCAGAATCCTTAATATGAGATTTCTTAAAGTAGGTTATATTCTTAAACACAGGGTAAAGTAGGAGGCTTGTTACACATTGGAATCCACTTTATGTATTGAAGGAGTCTCAATAAAACATAAGCAAATAAAATGCTTTGCTATATATGTCAGAAGGAGTAGATTCTTCATGAAGAAGGTGTTAACAGCTGGAATTTTTCAGCATATGTTTGACTCTGATCTGTGAAATTTGTTAAGTGCCTTGTATAACGTGGTTTGTGGTAGATAAACATTTCAGAGCTATTATTATGACAAAGCCTGTCTGTTGGGGATGTTGCTCTTTATCTGTTCCTAAACAGAAACAGAACCTTAAATACTGTTTAAGTAGAATTTAGGCTAAATGTTTTATCTTTCTAGAAAGCTGTGTATTTTAGGATCTTTAGGCTGTTAGATAGGGATCCTTTTTCATTAAGAAGTTAAATCCCTTTTATTTTTTTTGAGATGGGATCTGGCTCTGTCACCCAGGCTAGAGTGCAGTGGCATCATCGTGGGTCACTGCAGCCTCAAACTCCTCAGCTCAAGTGATCCTTCCGCCTCAGCCTCCCAAGTAGCCAGGACTACAGGCATGTGCCACCACGCCCAGCCATTAAGAAGTTAAATCACTTTTCGTACATCATAGGGAGTAATCACATCTTTATGTGTTATTTTAAATATCGAAAAATAATAGGGCCGGGCGCGGTGGCTCATGCCTGTAATCCTAGCTCTCTGGGAGGCCGAGGCAGGCAGATTGTTTGAGCTCAGGAGTTCGAAACCAGTCTGAGCAAGAGCGAGACACCGTCTCTACTAAAAATTAGAAAGAAATTAATTGGAGAACTAAAAAATATATAGAAAAAATTAGCTGGGCATGGTGGCGCATGCCTGTAGTCCCAGCTACTCTGGAGGCTGAGGCAGGAGGATCGCTTGAGCCCAGGAGTTTGAGGTTGCTGTGAGCTAGGATGACGCCACGGCACTCTAGCCCGGGCAACACAGTGAGACGCTGTCTCAAAAAAAAAAAAAAAAAAATAACAGCACTCTATTATGAAAAGAGAATTAGTCTCTGCTCACTAACTAGCCATATCATCTTGGGTGTCACCAACTTTCTTTACCTGTTAAGTGAAAAGATGGAACTACTCACTGCATGAGCACTAAGATTTGTTCAAGCTCCTACATGCTATATTCAGTTTTCGAAAATATCCAATCATATGCTCTAAAATAGCCAAATTCTCCTTTATTTCATGGGATACAGATATATTGCATGACTCCCCTTATTTATTTTGATAATATATTAGCTTATAATTTTTAGGCATAATTCATTTTACTTTCTAATATTGTCAATCTTGGACCTTCCATACCCGTTTGCTTCTTAACTCTTAAATAAGTATTGAATTTGCAAAGAATAGTAAAAGCATATTTAAGAGAAAACAACACAGCTCTCACCAATATGCAGTTGTACCTTATTCAGGAACCTCACCGACGTTTTTTTAACCTTTCTGATATATTTTTTTTTTCCCATTCCTGCAGGATGGGCCACTTATAAACCACAACGTATTTGTTTTTTTTAATGTGTTTACACTTACTGACCTCAACCCAATTTGCTCCTTTTTCTTTACCAGGGACTGAGAAGTTAGGAGCTAAGTTTGTTAGAATGTGCTTAAAATAAATCAAAGTAGACCTGAGTGAGAAAGAGCCAGAGATATGCATAAAGGGGGCTAATGCATAGATTTTATGTCATCTATATTGACTGCTCAGAGTTTTAAAAATTGATTTATTGGATCTAAGCTTTACAAATCAGAGATTGTTATATAGAGAATCTCTTGGTAAGAAAGAAATAATTGATTTCTGCTTTTTAAGTTCTTTTGAGTTCTTGGAAAAAATTTGATATTGATAATTTTGAACAGTTTCTATGTTGTTTTTAAATTCCTCGCTATAAAGAAGCTTGCTAAAGTAAAGGTAAGTATTGTATTGTCACAAATTCCTGATTAGTAGAGGTGGAATATTAGAAATTACACATTTATTACAATAAGCAGACTCTTAAAAAGGCAGATTGGATATACAATCTGTGCTCATGCAGTGAGTAGGATATACCTGCAAGTGAAACAGAAATCTCTCTTTACATTAAGAAATGTTAATTATTGTAACTTGATTTTTCTAGCGTCAACTTGCGAGTTTGCTCTTTGAGTTGGGATGTACCAGTTCAGCCCTTCAGATATTTGAGAAGCTAGAAATGTGGGAAGATGTTGTCATTTGTTATGAAAGAGCCGGGCAGCATGAGAAGGTATGTATTAATAATAGTCTAATCCTACGTACTGGTTGAGAGACTTCCCTCTTGGAGCATCTTGTAACTTGTTTTTTTTTAGCACATTTTTTGTCAGTATTCACTTATCTTCCTTTTTCACTTTTTTCCAGAAAAATTAATGTTTTCTCTTATTTCTGTTTGGTCACATTACTTTATGTGTATGCATACATATGTGTATATAAAAGAGAAAGGTAGACTGAAATTGATATGGTATTCGACACTTAAGAAAGAATAACAAAAGCTTTGAAGACTGTGTTTTGATCTCTTTCCTTTACTGACTCTTCTCCTGTAGGATAACTTCAATGTGAAATATTAGAAATTACTTTAATTATCACGGGGCTGCCTGTTGATCAGAGGCTGTGGGCCTGAAGGGGGGTTAGCTAGCAGGGATAGTAGTTGGCTTGGTCTGTAAAAGAAAATCCGAAGGGTGTGACGACCCCCCTGGGGGCAGAAGAGTTGTCAAGTGTGTAATGCACATTTAATTCCACCCTAAACTGGGTCAAGAGGCAATATGTTGTAATATTTGCATCTGTTATTCATCTATTGTTTTTCCCCTCATACATGAACTTAATTTTAAGAAGAATGAGGGGCTCTACATTATGAGTCGCTATAAAAACTGACACATTGAAATCATATGTTCAACTTTGGATTAAAATTTTAAATGACTAAGTAGAGTACACAAGCAGAGTAAAACCCACAAATTGGATCATTTATACCTACAGTCAACCTTTTTGCCATCACCCTAAAAAAAGAGAAATAGTGGTTCAAGTATGTGTTTTTCTTAAATATTAGTATCTTCCTAAGTATGTCTATTTCAGACTATTAACGAAAGTTCCATTTCTTTCACTTACCAGTTAATGGCAGTGAATGTCTTTGAATTGTATTGGCTTAAGGAGAAACCAGCATAGGAGCAAAGTTTTACTGTAAAAGATTATAGAATTATAATATTTTGATCCTGGAAAAGAACTCCATAATTATGCATTATAACTCCCTCCTTTTCCAGATAAGGAAAGGATTCCCTTCTGATGTGCCTCAGTTCACAAAGCTAGTTATTATTTACTTGAGAGGCAGGATGGCATGGTGGTTAAAAGCATAGCCTCTGAACTCAAACGCTGCCTGGATTCGGATGCTAGCCTGGCCATGTACTAGCTCTGTGCTCTTGGGCAAGTTACTTTACCCTCCTTGCCTCAACTTCCTCATCTAGAAGCACTTGATCTGCCTACTTTACAGGTTTTTGTGAGATAATACATGTAAAGTATACAGAATGGTGCTTACCTTGTAGTGCTATATGTTTGCTGCCATTCCTGCTGTGTTTCTAAGAGATGTATTTTTTCATATTTTAATATCTCTAAAATTGGAATGTACTTAGCAATTAATGGTATCTTCCAATTGCTATCAGGTGGCTGTCTCATCTGGTTTTCAGTACCTGTGCATGTGCAAGCTTAGTTATAGCTGTATTCAGTGCCATTTCAGTTGAGTCACAGTGTCAGTACTGCATAAGTTTTGTTTAACTGCCATTTAAAATATCTTCAGAAAGATTTCACTGTGATTTGGCATTGAAACAAAAAGTTACTAAATACAGAGGAAAGGGCAGAACCAAAGTAGAGAGATATAAATTTGGTATTAGCGAAATAAACATTTGCCATTGGAGGAATCATTACAGTTCCATTTACATTTCTTTGAAAGCAACAAGGAAGATACAATGCAAAAAATGCAAAAAAGGAAGATACCCAAAAGTAGATGAAGCTTTGTTTCGTACTGAGATTTGTAAAGAAAGGTTGCCATTTAAAATGTCAAGCAGTGGCAGGAAGAACTGCCAAATTTTTCTGAATAGATTGAAAAAAATCAAATGAGAGGTGTTAGATCATAATTGAAAGCATTTTTTCTTTCTTTAAGAGTTTGTCTTACGATTAATGTCATTTCAAATTTGTTGAACTATGGTATTATATTTCTACAGGGGCTTAAATTTTTTTTTTTAGTATCCACTGGCATTAAAGTAGTACTCAGACGTTTGTTTAACGAAGGAATGAATGGATGAATATCTTGACTTCCAATTTGATGTAGTTCCCACTGCATCATTCTTTACTGTGATAGACTTTTACATTGGTCAATAAGTAAATAAATAATGATGTAAAAATATAGTAGTTTTTGAAATAGTAATTTTTGAAATAAGTTGGTAGATCATAATTGAAAGCATTTTTTCTTTCTTTAA